CAGAGGTCCTGGCTCAGGCCTAGTACCTGGGAGATCCTAGCCTCACTCCCAGACCCACAGGAGCCCTGGCTTAGGTCTACTCCCTTGAAGGTCCTAGATTCACGTCTGGACCCTCAGCAGTCTATGGCTCTGGCTCACTTGGTCAGTGGTTGCTCCCCTGTATCTGTTCTAGTGGAGTTTGCTGTCTCAGGTCTGCTCTAGCCCAGGTTGCTTGCTCAGTCCTGGTCTGCCAATGTCCCTGGACTGGGTCCGCTCTCCTGCTCCCATGGAGCTTGTTTTCTCAGTCCTGCTCCCACCTAGGTAGCTCAACAGTGTCTTAATTCATATGGTTTCTTTGTGATCATTTTGGGTCTAAGCAGCCAGGAACAAACAAGCAGTCCCCTGCAACAAACTGGTGCCCAACATGCTGATGTATAGGTTAATAGAAATGGGCTAAATTAATATATAAGATTTAGCCAATAAGAAGCTAGGGCTAGTGGGCCAAGCAGTAATTTAATTAATACAGTTTCTGTGTGATTATTTCGGTTCTAAGCCAGCCAGGTACCTGGGAACCAACAAGCAGCCCTCCATACTACAGTTTGCACCAATGTGGCAAACTAAAATTCACTTAAAAACCTGAGAGAGCTTAATTCTAGGCACAAAAACACAGAGTTTAACACAACTTCTTACTGTTTGCTGGTGGCATACTGCAGCTCTTTTAAGAGAGGTTTTCCTGACTCAGCTGTAGCAGACAAAAAAAGCCGCATCTTTTTGAAATGCTGGCTTTTTGTGCCATGTTGCCAGCATGACCTCTGGCTCTTTTGGGAGATGGAACATTTGGATGGGGTTTGTGAGCAGTGTGTTGTGGCTTGCTTGATGGCAATGTGGACCATCTGGGTTTCTGAAAGTGGGGCAATGTGTGTGGCTCTCAGAGGCAGTGAATGGACTTCCTCCACATGTCAGACTGGGTGGAACAAGCAGGCAGGCCATATATACCCTAGGAATGGTTTAGCTTAAGTTTCTAAGAAGCGTTTAGCATTTTAAGAAGTGCTCCTGGATGGTAAAGAATTACAGATACACAATAGGACAGATTCAGACATAAAAGACCTCTAAATGGGTCACAGTGTTGGGTAAATGTACGTAGGCATGGGAGAGAGAAGAAAAAGAATATAAACAGTTATAAGAAGAAGTAAATGGTTTTAAAAAAAGAAGGTAAAATCTTTAAAGAGACAGAGTACAGATAGGCATAGATTAAAAGGAGTAAAGAAAACTAAGCCATGTAAAGATGGAAAATTCACAGACAGTCTGGATTATGTATATTATTGTGTTATCTTTGAATTGTTTGACTGTGAATGAGCTAAGTACAGAGAGACATTTCATTGGGCTGCTAAGCTAAACCAACACTGTATATTACAAAGGTATTATGACTTCAAAATTTGGGTCTAAGGATATGTTGCTTTGGAAAAGAGATTTTTCTTTTATTTCCACGGAGGATGAGGATGAGAACCTGTGGATTCATTCCAGACTAATATGGTTTGATGGACTAAGATCCCCTGAAAGGTTTAATGGACCAAGACCCCCTGAAAGGTTTCCTCGAACACCCCTCAAAAATTACTTTGCACAATAAACAGTAGAAAGAAGTTTGGATGGATCTATGCCCATATTCCCAAATATTGTCTTTAAATGTTTGTTTACATTTAAAGGGGGATTTAATATAGATATTTGTATCAGTATGGATCTTGCTTTATTGATACCAACTTAAGGTCAATTTTGTTACACTGTGTGTATGTATTTCTGCCCTTGATTTAAAATGTAGTGTATTATTAAGAGATATAGGTTAATAGATAATCATCTATAACACTCAAGCTTGTAGTCATGATAGATTTTTGTTAGATTTTCTAGATGTACAGAGATGAATTTCAGATGGATAGGCATTCTTCAAACCTTTCAAAGACTACAGAATATGGCATCTAAATTGTTTTAAGAACTTAGAATTTTTCATGACAATGAGACACATATGCTCCTGGCATCACCAATTACTTCAAGAGGAAGATGGGCATCAAAGAAGCTCCTTATGGAGTTTGTTAGCCATTTTGTCAAGAAATTGTTTTTGCCTTGACTGCTTGATGAATTGCACATGTAGGACCTGCAGATAAATGACTTCTGAACTTGTCTAAAGATAAGACCATCTTTTGGGGTTCCTGCTTCATGAAAGAGACTACCAGACATTTTTCAGGACTCAGAAGAGTAAACTGCCATTATAGGTGGAACTGTCTTTGAAATTTTCTGCTTCATGGAAAAGTCTGCTGTCTACTATGGGCCAGTAGGCTGAAGACAGATGCCCCAATGATACTGAAGAGCTTTGGGTGACTGTCCAGGCAGTGAGATTTCTCTGTCAATTCTAGAGTTTTGGGAGTTGCTTACACTGTACTTCCTGTTTACTTAGGTAATATATTCTTCTGGAGTCTTTGATGGAGTTGAAGAATAGACAGTAATAATATAGTTTTCCTTAGTTATGATAGAATATATGTAATTTTTCTATGTTAAAATTAAAACCTCCCCTTTTATTTAAACATGAAAAGGGAGGTGATATGGAATTTTCCTCTGTATGCTTGAATACCATTGATAAATAAACTGCTTTGGGCCTATAGCAGAGCTATAGGGGAAAAGAGCTAGGTGGGGAAAACTAAACATTTAAAACTAAAATTCTTGGAGAAAGAAGGAGGAGTCAGAGAAGTCATGTAGCCTGCTGGAGACAGATGCTGATCTTTAGCTGGTAAGACACAGCCACGTGGCAATACACAGATTAGTGGATATGGGTTAGTCAATAAGAAGCTAGAACTAGTGGGCCAAGCAGTGACTTAATTAATATGGTTTCTGTGTGATTATTTGGGTCTAAGTGGCTGGAAACAAACAAGCAGCCCCTTCAACAAAGTTCCCTTATTTTTCTGTTAATTTTCTCTTTTGCAGACCTGTCCATTGGTGATAGTGGTATGTTGAAGTCTCCCACTATTAGTGTGTGGGGTTTGATGTGCAATTTAAGCTTTTGTAATGTTTCTTTTACAAATGTGGATGCCCTAGTATTTGGGGCATAAATTTTCAGAATTGAGACTTCGTCTTTGTGTTTTTTTTTTCCTGTGATGAATATGAAATGGCCTTCTCCACCTCTTTGATTAATTTTAGTTTGAAGTTTACTTTGTTAGGTATTAGGATAGCTACAGAACTTGCTTCTTATTTTCATTTGATTGGAAAATCTTTTCCTAACCCTTTAATCTGAGGTAGTGTCTGTTTTTGAAGTTGATGTGTGTTTCTTGTATGCAGCAGAAGGTTGGCTCCTGTTTTTGTACCCATTATGTTAGCCTGTGTTTTTCTGTAGGCGAATTGAGCCCATTTATATTAAGGGATATTAATGACTAATGATTGTTAATTCCTGTTTATTTTTTTGTTTTGTTGGCAGTGTGTGTGTTTCTTATCTTTGGGATTTGCTGGTGTGGGATTATCTATTTTCTGTGTTTTCATGGGTTCAGCTGTCTTTTTTCTGGTATTTTGTGTAGGGCTGGATTTATGGATAGGTATTGTTTAAATCTGGTTTATCATGAACTATCTTGTTTTCTCCATCTGTAGTGGTTGAAAGTTTTTCTGGGTATAGTAGTATGGGCTGGAATCTGTGGTTTTTTTTTTTTTTTGTGTGTCTGCAAAACATATGTCTAGGACCTACTGCCTTTCAGAGTCTCCATTTAGTAATTGGGTGTTAGTCTGATAGATCTGTCTTTATATGTTACTGACCTTTTTCCTTTGAAGCTCTTAATATTTTTTATTCTGTTTAGTGTTATTATGTAGTGAGGGGTCTTATTTTCAATCTGTTTGGTGTTCTGTAAGCTTGTATCTTCATAGGCATGTCCTTCTTTAGGTTCAGAAAGTTTTCTTCTGTGGTTTTGTTGAATATATTTTCTGAGCCCTTGAGTTGGACTACTTTTTCCTTAGTTTTCTTAGGTTTGGTCTTTTCATGATGTCCTAGATTTCCTAGATGTTTTGTGTTAAGACTGTTGGATTAAATGTTTTTTCACCTGTTTGATTGTTTTTTTTCTTGGCTATCTTTTAAGGACTTATTGATTTTTCCCCATTTTTTGCTTTATCTTTTCCTCAATTCCTTTAAGGGATTTTTAAAATTTTCTCTTCAGGACCTCTATCATATTTTAAAAAAGTTATTTTTAAGATTATTTTCATCTTCATCTGCATTGGAATGTTCAGGTCTTTCTGTTGTAGATCTCGTTTCTGGTTGTGCCATGTTGGTTTTTATGTTGCTGCATGCATTCTCACACTGCCATCTACCCATCTGGGAATGGGGTAGTTATAGGATCAGGTGTTGATTCTTCCTCCAATGGTGCAGGAGGTGCCTGTGCCTCAGGGGGCTGCTCTTCCCCTAACTGGTGCTGGTGGTGTCTGCCTCTAGAGCTGCTCTTCCTCCAATTGGTGCAGATGGGTTCTGTGCCTCCAGGGGCCACTGATGCCATGGGGGATGGTTGGTTGGGGTGGGATGATGGGTTCTGTGAGTTGGGTGTGGAGTGGGACTTGTCAGTTACAGGATCCAATAGGTCAGGGGTAGCTGAGCATCATGCCCACAAGAGCCTTATCTTTTGACTGACTGCTGGGTCTGCACTGAGTGAGGAAGGGTCATAGGATGTGCCCTGGGGTCTAGGGTCTAGAGACTGGGGCTAGGGTCAGGAGACCAGTCACTTACTTCTTCTTCCAATCTGTGTAGGTGGAACCTGTTCCTCTGTGGGCCTCTGATGTCATGGGGAATGGTTGGTGTGTGTGTGTGTGTGTGTGTGTGTGTGTGTGTGTGTGTGTGTGTGTGAGGATGATGGGTTCTGTGGGCTTGAGGGACAGAGTAGTACTTGTAGGTTATAGGGTCCAGTGGGTGATGGGGGTGGATGGGTCTGCCTGCAGGAGTTTTACCTGCTGAACCAAGTCTGACATTTCTATTATGTACATATGTGGGATGCATATGTACACTTTAGGATGCAGTGACCTAGGAGGATGTGCATGTGAACTTCACTCATGAAGAGTGGGTTTTGCTGGATCCTTCCCAGAAGAGTCTCTACAAAGATGTGATGCTGGAAACCTGTGAGAACCTCACTGCTATAGGTAGGAATATGAGCTTTCTGTTACTTTTTAACTTAAGGAGACAAGACTTGGAGATTGGTGCTCTCCAGAAAAATTTAATGTTATTGAGGAATTATTGAGGAAAAATCTGTTGAGTAAATAAGGCATGATTCTAAGATTCATGAAAGATAGTAATTTCAATTGTTCCTAATTTCCAGTAATATATCACATATATTTTCTAGTACTGTATTGTAGGGTACAAATGGGAAGAACAGAATATTGAAGACCATTCTCAAAATTCTAGAAGACACAGAAGGTAATTTTCATGTGCAAGCTAATACATATGTGCCTCTGAAGACATGTTAATGTACCCTGAACTTTTAATAAAATGCATCAGTGTAAATAAGCACAGCTGTGTGATGGCTATTAAATTTCTACAGCACCATGAACTGCAGTGTCAGGTAGCTGATCATTTAAAGCATTTCCTTTAAGAATAAGACAAGGAACTGGGCAGTGGCAGTGCATGGCTTTAGTCCAAGCACTTGGGAGGCAGAGGCAGGTGGATCTCTGTGAATTTGAGGCTAGCCTGGTCTACAGAGAAAGCTCCAGGACAGAATCCAAAGCTACAGAGAAACCTATCTCAAGAAAAAAAAACCTAAAAAACAAAAACCAAAATCCCCCAAACCAAAAAAAACCCAAACAACAACAACAACAGAAAACAAAACAAAACAAGAATAAGAAAAGGAAACAATGCCATAACAGATGTCATCATTTTAATCATGGTCATATGAGAGGCATGTTGTAGAACTATCCATCAATTTAGGTTCATAACACTCAATTATCCCAAAAGGTATACACATTTATGGGGGATTAGTGTATGTCTAAGATCTTTTATAAGTAATCTTTCATATTAAAAGTAGTGTTTCTCATATATTTGTAGTAAGTTACTTAGCATATTTTAGTGCGTTGAGCACTTTATGAGAGACCAGGAAGTTGTTGTGCTCTAGAAACATGAATCCATACATATATCACAATCACAACTGTATGAAACATAAAATGTTAGCCTATGTCAGTGCAATGCAAAAAGCTTTTATTTGTTTTTCTTCCTTTACCAGGTATATCATCTGTCACTCTGGATCCAAACCATGTGAATATAAGGGAAACAAGAAGCATTGTACTCCTGTCTTTCTCAGAACAATTGGAAGAGATGTAGTAGTCCCCACCACGAGAAGACGTGATAACCGTGAAACAAATTTACAGTTAACTGATTTTCCAACGTCTGTGGGAATACATCAGCAAACTCTCATTGGAGAAAAGTCTTGTAATTGCAGTGAATATGAAACTTTGACTGTCTCTTCTGGTTTACTTTGCACATGTAGTGTTTATCACAGTACGAGAAAATGTTATGCATGGAATCAGTGTGACCAAACTTTGAGTTCTCTTCAAAGATGTGAAAAAACTCTTATGGGAAGAGGAAGTAATAAATGCAAACCAAGTACTAAAGGGTTTAGCTCTCACAGATGTCTTCAAACACATAAAACAACCAGTGATAAAGATGATCTCTATGAATGTAATCAATGTGATAAAGTCTTTAGATCTGATTCTTCTGTGAAAGCATACCAGAGAACTCACTTGGAACTAAAACCCTGTGAATATAGTAAAAGTGATCAAGACTTTGCATGTCACAATCTTCATCAAGTTGGTAGAATTTATATTAGGGAGAAAAGATATGAATATGATAAATATCATAAAGCTTTTGCACGTCCCAGATATCTTCAAATACATAAAAGAAGTAATTCTGGAGAAGAACCCTATGAATGTAATCAATGTGGTAAAACCTTTGCCTATAAAAGCCTTCCTCAAATACATGAAAGAATTCATACTGGAGAGAAACCCTATGGATGTAATCACTGTGGTAAAGCCTTTGTATATAAAAGTGATCTTCACAGGCATGTAAGAAACCATACTGGAGAGAAACCCTATGAATGTAGTCAGTGTGGTAAAGCCTTCGCACAGAACAGTTATCTTCAAAAACATGAAAGAAGTCATACTGGAGAGAAACCCTATGAATGTAGTCAGTGTGGTAAAGCCTTTGCACATAACAGTCATCTTCACAGGCATGAAAGAATTCATACTGGAGAGAAACGCTATGAATGTAGCCAGTGTGGTAAAGCATTTAAGTATAAGAGTAGTCTTCACAAGCATGAAATAAATCATACTGGAAAGAAACCCTATGAATGTAGTCAATATGGTAAAGCTTTTGCATGTCACAGTAATCTTCACAGGCATGAAAGAAGTCACACTGGAGAGAAATTCTATGGATATAACCAATGCGGTACAGCCTTTGCATACAAAGGCTGTCATTTTCAGAGGCATGAAAGAAGTCATACTGGATAGAAACACTATGGATGTAGTCAGTGTAGTAGAGACATATCATGTAACAGTCACCTTCAAATAAATGAAAGAACTTATTCTATGAATGCAGTAAGTTTGGTAATATCTTTGCATATAAAATCATCTTCACAGTCATGAAAGAGGTCAGACTTGACAAAAACCCTATGAAAGTAATCAATGTGGTAAAGTCTTTGTATGTTGCAGTAAACATCAAAAGCATGGAAAATTTTACACTAGTGAATATCCCCATGAACCTAATAAAAGAACCTTTTATTCCACATACATTTTTCTTACTAAGTTGTCTCACTGTTGTGCGAGTAGAATTAGTAGTGCTACTCTACCCTTAAAATATTGTCTGCTTTTCAGGTTGTAAACATATTGTATTCAAAGAAAACAAAAAAGAGATCATTTTAATAGTAAAATGTATTTTCAAGTGAAATTGTTATGTATGCTGTCATTCAATATTTTTGGATCATGTTATTTTATTTTGAGGACTAAATACTTGTTCTTAACATTTTCTCTGAAATGAGCGCCAGGGAATTTTATCAATGCATAAATGTAGTTGCTGTGAAGCTGGTGACCTGAGTTCACTCTCTGGAAGACCAACATTTTTCATAGAAGTTTTCCCCCTATGACTACACTTGGGTTGCATGCACACCACACACCAACACATACAGAAATAAGGTCCAGTGAGATCACTCAACAATTTAAGGCACTTACTGTCAAACTTCACTACTTCAGTTTGATCTCTAGTACTAGAACAAGTAGAGAACAGAGAGCTATACGTTCTACTCTAACTGACTTATGCACACCATGGCACTGCTGTTTACACACATTTTTTTTTTCACTGAGTAGCCCTGGCTGTTCTGGAATTGTTTTTTTTTTTTTCAAATTTATTTATTAATTAATTATTTATTAAAAGTTTCTGCCTCCTCCCCGCCACTGTCTCCCATTTCCCTCCCCCTCCCCTGGTCAAGTCCCCCTCCCTCATCAGCCCAAAGAGCAATCAGGGTTCCCTGCCCTGTGGGAAGTCCCAAGGACCACCCACCTCCCTCCTCCAGGTCTAGTAAGGTGAGCATCCAAACTGCCTAGGTTCCCACAAGCCAGTACGTGCAGTAGGATCAAAAACCCATTGCCATTCTTCTTGAGTTCTCAGTAGTCCTCATTGTCCGCTATGTTCAGCAAGTCCAGTTTTGTCCCATGCTTTTTCAGACCCAGGCCAGCTGGCCTTGGTGAGTTCCCGATAGAACATCCCCATTGTCTCAGTGTGTGGGTGCACCCCTCGCGGTCCTGAGTTCCTTGCTCGTGCTCTCTCCATCTGCTCCTGATTTGGAACTTGAGATTTCAGTCTGGTGTTCCAATGTGGGTCTCTGTCTCAGTCTCCTTTCATCGCCTGATGAAAGTTAATATTCAGGAGGATGCCTATATGTTTTTCTTTGGGTTCACCTTATTTAGTGTCCTGGAATTGTATAGTCCAGGTTTATCTTGAAATCAAAGAGATCTTCCAGCCTCTGCCTCCCAAGTGCTGGGATAAAAGGTGTGCGACATCACCACCACAGCATCAGTTAAGAAGTTTGAAAGGAAGGAGATTTATAATGCAAATTTTTTTACCAAAATATTAAGAAAATAGTTGAATACATTGAAAAATCTCAAGAAGTATTATTGCTCATTTAAAAAATGATGCTTCTTCTTTTGACTTATATTGTTCTTTCACTGCCTAGTTCAAAGATAAATCCTTTAAAAACATAGCTCACCTGTGTGTAGAGGAGCACTCTACACACACACACACACACACACACACACACACACACACACACACACGTAGTAAGTAGAGCGGTGGGCTGCATTCCGGCCGCCCCGGCTCCCGCATGGCTAGCTTATGCCCCAAAATAATTACACGGAAACTGTATTCTTTTAAACATTGCCTGGCCTCTTATTGGATAACTCTCACGTCTTGCTTTAACCCATTTCTACTAACGTGTGTAGCACCACAAGCTGGTGGCTTACCAGGGAGATTCTTAACCTGCGTCTGTGCCGGGTGGGAGAATCATGGCGACTGACTGATTCGGCTTCTTTCTCCCAGCATTCTGTTCTGTCTACTCTGCCTATCTAAGCAGCTGTCCTATCAGAAGGGCCAAGGCAGTTTCTTTATTAACCAATAGACATATGACCCTCCTCCATCATATATACACACATATACATACACACACATATATACATACACACATATCTATCTATCTATCTATCTATCTATCTATCTATCTATCTATCTATCTATCTATCTATCTATCTATCTATCGAGAGATAGCCTGTCTCAAAAAGTCAAAATAGGGGATCTGGAAAGATGGCTGTTTCTCCAGAGGACCCAGGATCAATTTTCAACACCCACATGGATGCTCACAAGTCTGTAAGTCCAGTTTCAGGAGATTTAACACCCTCATACAGCCATAAATGCAGGCAAAACACCTATTCCCGTAAAATAAAAATAATCAAATTTTAAAAGTATACATCACATTATGGATCTTTTTCTAGCATAGTACAGACTCATCTCTTATCAAGTGAATCTCTCATTGGGTTCATTTATATTGAGAACCGTGTTAAAAATTAAACAATGTGCAGAATCCATCCACAAGGGAATTGAAAACCAGTTCTTTGTTGACCAAGTAGCTGGCACTTTGATTACCTGCAAATGACAGAAGCAGAAGGAGTAAAGGGGCTTCGTTTTCTGTATCACAATGACATCTTCGGGAGCTGGAGACTGAACTCAGTAGTACTGCTGAATGTTGGTTATCTAAGTTTGGTTACTATCACCCACATAAGTGACTCTGAAGTTCCTGTGAATTGTGGACCAGGAGGTCAGATGCACTTTTCTGCCTTCCTTTGGCACCAGATAAACTTATGGTGTATTTAATATAGGTATATATTTGTGTGTTTGTATGTGATTGTGTGTAAGAGCCAAAGACTCCATATTTTAGACTTCATGATCAAACTTTAAAATTAATAAAATAGGTAAAAAAGATGTATTTCTTTGTTCAGGCAAAACTGAAAATAAGACACCACTGATATGGTTGCAGGTGGCAGCTCCCTCAACTCCTTACTGGAGCCTCCGTTAGATACATATCCTTCATTTTCTGAAACAGACCCTGAAATATGGGTCTGTTTAATAATTTACTAATCAATCTAATCTTGAGTTTTCAACTTTGTTATTAGGACTTAAGAGTCTTTGGGAAAGCTAACTTCATTCCTGTATGGCTTCATGAACTGTGATTGTTATTTCCAGTGTAATTTCAGCAAAATCAAAACATTTGTTTCATTATACACTAACCGATCTATTTAAAACTGTAGATATAGAGATGGCATTGGACTATCTTCCTTTATATCAGTAATATATTACCTTTTCTTCCCCATGTGATATGGCTAGAAGGGATCTCGATTGTCTGTCTCTCAAAAAATATCACATTGATGAACTATTTTGATGGCATCATGTTAGTTGGGACCATGTGAACAGGAGGTAACAACCACTTTGAACTCATTGGTAACACATATGCTCATCAGAGGTTGGTGTTGGGAATATTATTTTCAGGTGTGTGACTTTTGTTTATGCTGCATTTGTTTAACTCTGTGAAGCTGTGTTACTGTGCCTGTCTAAAACACCTGATGATCCTAATAAAGAGATGAACAGCCAATAGTGAGGCAGTAGCAAGGATAGGAAGGGCTAGTAGGCAGAGAGTATAAATAGGAGAAATTTGGGAGGAGAGAGAATGAAGAGCAAGAGAACAATGAGAGGAGAATGTCAGGGGCCAGCTACCCAGCTACACAGCAAACCACGGAGAAGTAAAGAAAGGTATGCAGAAATAGAGAAAGAATTTTGCCCAGAGGCAAAAGGTAGTTGGGATAATTCACACTAAGAAAACTAGCAAGAAACAAGGCAAGATAAGGCTGTGAGTTTGTGATTAAGAATAAGCCTCTGTGATTTTTTGGGAGGGGGGGATGAGTAGCAGCCAAGAGAGTAAAACATCCAACAACACTTTGGTGCTCAACATGGACCCATATTTTCAAGTAGGGCCTGAAAAAGCTTTAAAAAAGTATATGGCTCCTTTAAGAGTTTATACCTCTGGCAAGCCCTTGAGCAATCAGTATGCTAATTAGAACAAAAAATGAAGTAAAAATGCCTGTCACAGCTCAAGCATCGGCATTCTAGAGCTCTAGGAAGGTTGAATGCCTGGTTGAATAACCAGTTCCCGGTCATGTGTGTCCAACCTGGCTGCAAGCTTTGGACTTGGCTTTCATGACCCAACCTGAGAGTGGGAGGAGCCAGCTGCTAGAACATGTGGAGGATCCAGGTGTAGTTTAACAGGTTAGAGTGTGCTCCTGTGGTCAAAAAAGGCAGTAAAAGGGATATGCAGTAAAAGAAGTCCAGATGGAAAAACCTCTTAATAGGTTCTAGCGTGCTTTACAATGTGCATAGATTTAAGAAAGAAAGGTAATGCGTATAGGCAGTCACAGGAAGTCTTTAAAGAGACATCAGAAGTAATATAAAAGACAAAAGCCATGTAAAGATGAGAGATACACTGGGAGTCTGGATCCTGTATGTCATTGTGTTGGTTTTGAATTGTTTGATTGCTGGAAAGCAAAGGATAGCTGCTGAGACCTGGAATTGAAAGAAGGTCTGTGCAAATAAGCCAGCTTAGGTATTTTATTTATTTATTTATTTATTTATTTTAAAAATTTCCGCCTCCTCCCAGCCTCCCATTTCCCTCCCCTTCCTCCCACACCACTCCCCCTCCCCCACTCCTTTCCCCATCCCTCTCCAGTCCGAAGAGCAGTCAGTGTTCCCTGCACTGTGGAAAGTCCAAGGTCCTCCCCCCTCCATCTAGGTCTAGGAAGGTGAGCATCCAAACTGGCTAGGCTCCCACAAAGCCAGAACATGAAGTAGGATCAAACCCCAGTGCCATTGACCTTGGCTTCTCATCAGCCCTCATTGTTCGCCATGATCAGAGAGTCCGGTTTTATCCCATGCTTTTTCAGTTCCAGTCCAGCTGGCCTTGGTGAGCTCCCAATAGATCAAGCCCACTGTCTCAGTGGGTGGGTGCACCCCTTGTGGTCCTGACTTCTTTGCTCATGTTCTCCCTCCTTCTGCTCCTCAATGGGACATAGGGAGCTCAGTCCGGTGCTCCAATGTGGGTCTCTGTCTCTATCTCAATCCATCGCCCGATGAAGGTTCTATGGTGTTATGCAAGATATTCATCAGTGTGATTATAGGATAGGGCCATTTCAGGTTCCT